CAAGTACGAGTTAGCGGATCGCAATCCGCTTACTCCAAGAGTAATTATTGCCTTAACCAGGGCTAATTAGCTATCCCGTTTAAAATTCAAAACTGAATTTTATTTATTTTAATTTGCGGCAAAGTCGCCTAATTCTAAATGTTAAGATCTTCCTAAACCTTAACACATGCCTAACTACTGGCTACCTAGCCCCGTACCGTATTCTTGTTCGGGTGTGGTCACGCTGTGTACATCTCGTGTGACCCCCCTCCTATTACTAGGGTACGTGTAATCCCGTTACATTTCACTATATCCGTTTGATGTTTTGCACGAAATAAAGCGTCATTGACACCAAACGACTTACTTCGATCGACAGTGACGGATGGTTTTAAAAAGGAATTGGTCGTTTTTAAAGCACACTCCCATATTTGGAGGTAACACTCATAGCGGATGTCTTGCCACAACGTCAGGATATCAATTCTGCAAAGGATAAAAACGATCATATTCTAAAAAGACAAGCTCCTTACAATCGATACCAGTACCCTATGGATGCCCTAGATCTCTGACTCATCCTAACAGAGGACACGATCAATTCATTCTCCGGAATCGAGGATTTTGCCTTCGTACAATTCCTATCACACATCCCTTATTCCATAGAGCAATGAGAGCTTTGATTTGAGGAAACAGGGAGCACAAACATCTCATAGGGCTACCTCCGTAAATGTATTTACGAGTTAATACACTTCATTTCCTTGGCTCGTTGAACTTTACTGCTTTGCACAGTGGAAGCACCAAACGATATTGCTAATTCAGCAATACATTGAGAAGGTGACAATTATGGGCGATCTGTCCAAAGACACCACGACCAACTATTTTACTTGTTTTTAATAGTCACCTGTCTTTATCGGGGCTTTCCCAGAAAACCGCGGCACTTAGAATCACAGGATCAAACACACGGTCAGCATTATTTGTCCCACAAGGTAAATTCTCTTGGGACCTCAGCTTACGCCTGTGCTTAATCTACTCATGCGAGATACAATCTTAAAACCACAAGGTACAATTGCTACTATCTATCTTATCTAGAGACCGCAGGCTACTGCCGTTTCTGTATAGAAGTACTCTTAAGAAGCTTGAAAATGTTGTCATTAATTACTCCATTTCCGTACAGAAGGTATTGTAGTTTCATACCAGCGCCAAAAATTTCGTTAGCAGAAGTGAAAAATGACTCCTAAAGTTCACAAAGAGTGAATTGCGTGGTCCCAACCGTCTTTGACTTCCACCCGATTCGTAACTCATGACATATGTGTAGCGCCATAACCGAGAGTAAGCCCCTCTAAGACCAGACTTGGTCGGCTGGTGCAAAGCGTTTTCCACTGAAGCGTAAGGCAGCTTACCACGCTGTCAAGGGCCTTGAAGACTTTAAAAAGGTCATATTAAATTTTAATGTCTAGTGTTCCGACCGTCGCGCACTCGAGTGCTAATGTACGACGCCTCTGAAACTCTTTATGGTCCCACGAAGCCCAAAAAGTTGGTCTCGCCGATCAAAAATCTCCGGCTTTGACCCCCACTTCTTGATGATAAAGTCGTTACCCTTAATATTAGGTGCGTTGACCTTGACTTTTTCGAGATGCAATAGAACCCAGTTCACCCACAGTGGGTCGACTACACACTGCAACCTCGTTGCACTTATACCACTTGTAGTCAAATGGGCAATCAGTTCCTGAAAAGACTGAATGTGATGGTGGAACACGAGTTGTTCAACACTCCGTCCTCCAAACAAACATTATGTCCTGATAAGCTTGAGATTTTGTCTGATTGCAAAGCAGTAGCATGCTCTAAAATCTTGATCTTATGGAATGCATTGATGCTTTCCCGGAACTGAGAACACGCTTGTGCGACGCCTTTGAATTACCCCAACTTGACGTCGAGGGAGCGGAAATGGTACCAAGGCTTGAGGCTGCAATTTTGGAGCGTCCGCCCATACGTCTTCTCCTGAATGAGGAAAATTGAAATGACTGTAAATTAAATACATGCTTAGACGAAGCAACAGCGCGTTAGACTTGTGCATTTCAGAAATCGCGCCAAGAAATGGGTACTATCGTGTGGAACCTCAATTAACAAGACATTCTAAGCATGAGAAGACAGATGTTCGCACCGCGTAACTAGTGTATCGGATATGTCTTGTCCAACCGTTAGAAAATTATCCACGCCTAGGATTAACGAAGATTTATCGGTGGTAGACCCTTTTCCCGAAGAAATGACAGTAACCATCTCATAAAGGGCTCTAGACAGGTGCGACCTTCACTTTGACCAACTGCATCCACCTTGTCTCATTCAAGGAAGCAGTAGGTATCGTATCAAAAGTAAACAACAACTTCTGTCCGATAGGTCCAGTTTGGTTACGAGAGGAGGATGCTATACAAGGGCGAGAGAGGCGATGAATCTTAGCCGATCTGCAAAAGTGTAGGGTTTTTGGTACCATGTTGCTCGTAAATGTTTAATTTATTTAACGTCTAAGAGTCTACTTCTTTCTTGGTTGTGTGAAGGGAAGGGTTGCCCGAAGCCCACGCAAATATCTCTGAGTCCTGACAGGCGTGATGCGGCCAACTCAGTGAAAGCTTAGTTTGTTGCACTGCGCAACTTTGAGATCAATGATCTATAGATGCGACTCTCCCTATGCAGGGGTGGATCTCGCAGACCATGTTTTTCATTTTCAACTTCGAGATCCCAGGATTTGTGAAGCAGCGGTTAGTTTTGATAGATTAAGGGCGTAGCACAATAATGAGCGACACAGACTGCCGAAAACATTAGACAATACATGAAGTCAATGAAGATACTGTATAGATACGCATATATTGTGTATCTAGCAATGGGGGCGCTAAATTGAGTTAAGGCCTTTCTGAGAAGCTTGATGATGACTTTGACAGCGAAAAGTGTTGTCTCGCATTTAACCTATATTCGAAATACAATCTCATCTTATATATAGCATGGCTTAGATGCCATGAGCTATAGGACGATTGGAAGCCGAAAAGTATAAATCCACGTTGTTTTACCTGGTGGGACGTCGGTGATTCATCAACACACCTTTGCCTGAAAGGAGCCTTGGGCATAACAATAGCTTTGGTGCAGAGCCTGAAGTTGTTCACATTAGCTAGCAAAAAAAGCCAAGTACATTGATCAGAGATCCAAGTACAAATGCACCAGTGAGTCGTGGTCTCAGTCATGAAATAAGTGTAGCGATCAAGTATAGCGGTCTCCAGATTGTATCTCCGTTGAGACAACGATGAACGACGGTGGGCTAGGATCATCAGGTTTTTTTCTGGCAGGACGTTCGACAAACGCTGTAAGCTGGTGTCTTTTGTGTCAAGTCAAGTGCGATGGAGTCCGAAAGCGGCTGTGTGTAATGGTCTCCTGTGAAGACGGATCACTGTAAGGCCGCCGACCTTAACTAAGCTTCCTCTAAGCGAAAGAGCTTCGGCAGCCCCGCTGCAGTACCATTCTCTCATTCAAGCGTTGGAAATCAGTAAAAAAGTAATACTATGATGACCTTCAGCGCTTGTACGCCAAGAAGAATCACCGGGGTGAAGAGTTGGTTGCTTTTCGTAGTCAAATGGTGAAACTTTCTGATCAGCTCAATCATCTATCAAAGATCCTCTCGGAAGATACGATATTAGCTTACCCTCACAAAATGTAGGTTCTAGGTAAATGCGTTTAAAAATGGCCGAAATGCGCATCACAATTCCAACTCAGCACCTTGAACGGTCCAATGATTCTTTGCAAAAGCTTCTTGCTTTGCAAGTTGGACACTGCATGTTTAGGTAGATTTGTCGTGGTAAATGTTTAAGGTCATTGACCTTATGTACCTTCTTGTTCTTCCTTCTGCTCGTATCTGCTTGTTCCTTTTGCAGATCCTGAGCTTTCGCAAATGCTTCTCGAACAAACTGAACAACGGCTTACTTCTCACATTAAAGTCATCGACGTGCTGTCCTTTACGACTTGTGATGCCGTTTTTGAGGTCTCATCGAGTCAAATTTCATTTTAACTCTGTGACAGCATTTAAATCTGACTGTGGCTTTATAGGCATAGTTCCTACCCCGCTTAAGGTAGCACCTTGGAAGCAGGTACATTAAGAAGACGAAACCATAATTTGCATTAAGTGGCGAACGACCCATCGAGACATGCGTGAAATTATTCAACGCAAACTCCGCAACAAGATGGAGAAATTCACTCCACACTTTAAACGACGTAGGGTAACTACGCATTACGTCCTCCAGGACTCGATTCACAAACTCTGTTGACCGTCCGTTTTAGAGTGTGCCTCTGTTGCCAGGGACAATTCGGTGCCCAAGAGTCCAAACAGTGCACGCGAGAACTATGACGTAAAACGGGTGACACGATCAGACACGATCTCGGCAGGATGGCTATGCAGACGAAAATCAGCGTCTACAAAGACCCATTGGGTATTTATGATATATCCTACAGTCGTGCGGGCGACTGAAAATGAGATGTTCGGAGCATTTGAGGATGCGTCAGGTCAACAATGGAGCATGTCGATTCACCGTAAGTTCGAATATATAAAATTTGACAAAGCGTAGAGATCAAGACAGATGATGGGCGTGATTTTGTGAGATCATATGTCGTTGGTATTATCGTGTTATGGGCCTGTAGAATATAATATTTACCTTTCCTCTTTACATTCGCTCTTCTCGCACAGTAAACAGATTATTTGTTTAACGGAGATTTCACTAAAACGAAGGCTTTTCTTGCTTCTTTCCTTGTCCCGAAAGAGCGAAGAGCTGCAAGAAGAGAAAATCACGCTGGACGACTCATGAAACATATTGCCGAGATCGCGGCCAATGTCGCGTGAGAAGTGCTCTAATCTTGTGTGCATTCGAAAATTGATATAGCTGTACAGAGTTCTCGTCACACTTGGTGTAAATGTCAATTCGAACAAATTCTGATATATCGATATTTATGATGATGATGCACTTTCAAAGAGAAGGAGTCCGTGGTAAGCTTAGGTTGCTAGCCGCACATTGAACACTAAGCCCGTAATGGACAGACGCATATTTCTGAGTTAGTCTGGATAAATTAGTCCGAACATAAGTGCTCTTGAAACAGTAGAGTAAGCTGGCAGTCATAGGTACCTTAAAGGAACGCGCATTCGCTCCTGGTAAAGTGCACAAAACTGAACTCTTAGCGTCTTTTAACGCGAATTCTGAGAGTCAAAACTTTTTCCATGCACAGTCCGCGGCGATCCTACTCTGCTGTAGCTAGGGTCGACAGCCTGTACTGCTCGACAGGAAGGTTATAGAAACGTGTGCCGATCATACCGTCCAACATGTGGTCAGAAATATCTAACGTCAAGCATTACAGCGAGGAGCTAGCCTTCTTTACATCGCATTCAAATGCATGAGCTTAACGCTTTTACTATCAGGCAAGAGTGCACAAATGCCTGGTGTCATGTTGTACTTGGTTATGGACAACAAACACGAGTCACACAATTTATTATATGCTTCACTGTCGCACTATCCAGTTTAGCAACAAACTGCCCAGAATCAAGCGCATCACTCACCGTCGCTTTACCTTGACTGTAAAGTGTCGCGAACAAATGGATCATTCCTTACAATGAAGATTGCTTTGAAGAAAAAGTTCAGCAATTTCAAAATCGACCAAGAGAAAGAGTTGTATACGAACCCATCACAAGGAATGGGAGCGTAGACAAGCGCAGACTAATTTCATTTTGATATACTAAATGACCACGGCGAGCGGCAACAAGGGATGACAAGTAGCGTAAATTACAAGCTAATTTATAAGGGAATATCTAATTCGCGAATAGCACCTGCAGAGTGAGAGGCCATCGGAAATCGATTGATCCATAGAGGCAAATGCACATGTAGCTAATGTCTATGCGAAAACTAAACTAGGATACATACAGTAAATTATCGTAGTGGGTAAAGGTGTTTCAATAAAAGAGATTGCTCGTCCGTCAATAGCGGCCAAGTGCAGATTCTTAACTGGGTCAGTTGAACATCTTTGAGATAAAGCCGCTAACTCAGATTGATTACCTTTGAGTATGCGCAGCAGTATATGCTAGTATCAACAATTATGACTTCATGTTTTTTTGTTTCGGTTGCACGTCCTTATCATCGAGCTAAATCTTTTGAACCTAATGCGCTCTCTTTAGTTTCTGTGCAACAATAGCTAAGTGTGTGCTTCGATTTGACTTCCCATTGTAAAAATGAGTAAGTTATTCTAGGAATTATATCTAGAAGTATTTGTTGTGTCTCGAACGAAAGAACAAGAAATCAACAGCTGTCCGATTTTCAGAATCAAAAATCAGGTTTTTGATCACATCTGATCCGTTTTGAAGCTTCTGTAAGAAATTGTAAAACTTGCCCAACAAATGGTGTTTCCTATCCTCTTTTACGAACATCTCTATATAATAGAGATCATTTTTATATCTGCGCGTCATCCAGGCATTTGACAAACTAAAATGTTGGCACATCCATTTGGTCCATGGAATGGAGCCGCCCTACACCTCGCACAGAGGAAGCTATGAATCTACGAGTCCGCGTAATGTTCGCACAAAAGCTGTTTTTTTCGCTCCAATGACGAGCAGAACCGAGAACCTTCCAAGATTTACTATTTTTGCTGTAATATTAAATTATAATAAATTAGTCTAACTTCACTTGATTCCATTTTTTTACAAGCGACAGGAATAAAATTAAATGGAATGTGCAGTACGTAAATAGCAAACGATGAGTCTTTCGGACGAAAACCTTACGGTGTCCCGTCGGTCACACTCGTACGACTGCTTTCATATCAGCCTGGAAGTACACTTTGGTACTTTACGGTTTCCCTCTCAGTCTAATAGTCAAGAGTGGCAATCGTGTAATGTGTAACTACTTCATAACACGACAAGTCCATCGTTGCAAGGGTAATAATCACAATCGTTTTGCTGACGTAGTGTCAGTCATTTTGTATATCTTAGACATTGCGCACAAGCTAACGTATTTCAATAATTTATTACACCGGAAATTTGTCTCCAATTTCCTGCTCTTACGAAAACTTAACACACCCAAATACATATTACTAATTTGCTGACAAGCTGCAACGATCCGCTGAGAAAAGTGCAGCTTCCACCAGCGAGTCATACTCGCGAAGTCAGTCGACATGTTTACGATATTCCGTCAAATTGACGCTCGAGTCAGAGCGGGCCAGCTTCACCTTCGCCAAGAGACATACGACAAAAGCATTCTTCCTCCACAAAACCTTTCACAAGACTAACGCAGTCCTTAAGCCTCGTTTCACCTGTGAGCGAGTTGCGAACAATGTTCCCGTTGCCTGCAACGGAGAATTCAGCGGTATCCAGTGGGAAGCTCTCGACATGGATTAGCTTGCAAACTGGAATCTGAACCTTGCTCTGCAATCCGAGCTTGTCCATCTTTGAGACGAATCTACATACGGTTGTGTCTACCGTCTGCAGGGCAAAGTTGCGTCCGCGCCACATCACACCGCACGCTTTTGGAGCAAAAAAAGATTGCGTGACGCGCTTAACAGCATAGTCTTGTATTCATTGTCAACTTCGTGATTTTCATATCGTGATCACGCTCTAACGAGCCAATCGAAGTTGAAGAGGACAACGCAATATTTCCACCACCCAGTGATTTTGATCCCTTCTATGATATGGGGCAGCAATACGGTTCTTAATGCTGGTGGTACTTACTTCGACAGCGTAGCATAGAGAGTTCGCTCAATACTCAACCTTCATCAGTATCGGCCTCACGCCAAGACTAGCTAGAAGAGAGAAAGTTTAATTATCCGAGACCTAAATGACCGGGTGTATTTATGGAATTATAAGTCTCCTCACTAACCTATGCAGAAGCTCTTATTAACATCTGGTCGTGAAAAGCCCCTGGTATTTACAGGCCTGTGATGGCACCAAATTAGGCCAGTTAGTACTGGAGAAGGAGCTGGCCTTTAATACACCATAAAATTATCTGTTTCGGAGACACAAGCAGGAACTGAAACGGGGAGTGATATATGGCCCTTCATATTTTATTAGCCTTCTAATATTGAAGCATGATGATATGCTGTCCAGATTTTCACCGCAAATACTGCACACGATAGCGGAAGCTACATTAGATCAATCTGGATTCCGAAAAAATCACACCACAATTTCATTACCCTTACCGACTTGTCATAGTTGCCTTCTTTCGCGGAAAGCAGGAAGTGGTAAGTGAGAATTCCCACCAACGCAATAAGAATGAATGATGGATGTGGTTTGACCATTTTGCTGACATGACAAAAATCTCAATGTCGCTTAATAAGAGTGTCAAATGATGCTGAGGTGCGGCAGAAAAAGCAGGAATTTTGTGGTGTGAATATAAGCCCAATGAATTAGCCCCACAGAATGTTTGGAGCTGTGTTCTGGACTTGATTGAAGCACACTCAATGGAAAGTGGCATTTGTCGTCCGCTGATTAGGCCTCCCCCGAGACTTACTACTCACAGGATTCAAACGCGATTCTGCGCTCACGTTCATTGGCATCGAATTGGTTGAAGAAAAGCCTATGACAAAGGCCGAAGTATCACAGAAGACATGATATGGCTTCCAAACACTTCCTGATCTTTAAATATCATGCGCGTTGCTGTGCACAGCGACACCATCCCTACATTTCCTGCGAGGAACGGAAAAATGAAAATTCTTTCTTACAAGTATACATGTGAGATAAAAATAAACGGGATGGCTATATGTGACAACGGATACGCTCCTAGCCGCCCAAATAATTTCAAGTTGCATATCGCGATGGTAAGGATGAGGCAAAACTTGCAGCATATGGCGTAGATGCAACATGTTTTGCGCAGTTGGGGTAACAACCGAAGAAAATACAGCCGAGCTGTCCGTCTACAAAGAATTTGCCAAGATGGCTTGCCGGTGGTCAATGTCTCGAATTGACAGCCGCATGCTGAAACTATATTTTGGCGAACTTTGGGTGAGGTACCAGATTGTTCATTTCCACCGCCGACCATCTACAGATAGATGCCGGACAGAACGCTTTGATCGCATGATGTAGACATTCCATTATCTTGACGTGCAAAGAGAGTGTGGTGCTGAAGCAATTACTTTATTAATGGGTTTATATCAAATAACGCAGTCTACACCTTTCCAAACAGTACCCCCATTTGTTCATTATGCTTTAATGAACTGCCGGTTTTTAAACAGCTACGAAGTGATTCCGGCCTTGGCGAGCATCGGATTGTAACACGAAATGCTTACACAAAGTCTCGATGCTCAAAAGCGGCATGCAAACGGCAGAGTCAGCCAGACCACACACGTATCTGTGATATTTTTTTGTCAATCTCTTTGACTTTAGTCTATACAATTCAGTTGCGACCACGCTGCATGGACCGTTCTAGCGGTAGCTAAAATGGTTGGATGTATTCGCTCAGTATTCCATGTATAATGCAAACACTTGATCGAAACGCCTGTGTGCTTAGGTGTGTAAGCCCACAGGCGTTTAGGCGTGTAAGCCCCCCATAGTACGCGATAGTCCATTAAGTAATAGTAGCCCTGGTATACCTGCCGGTCCCCACATTGATGTGAAGTTCAACTTGCTTGTTGGAGTAGTCAATGTAAGATCAAGATTTTTCGTCAACTGCGATTTATGTGTGATTGTCCTCAGCTGCTATCGGGACATATTTCTGTACATCTTGTTTCCCAGCAATATCGTTGTGCGCACGGCGCATGACGCTCATTCACATTGAGATAGAGTTCCCAAATTTCTACGAAGTGCAACGGGGCTAAAATTATCAAGTCGAATCGTAACGACAGCCCGGAACCATAATCAAGAAAAAGATAGTTTTGCATCTGAATGCATATGTATTCAACAATGAATTTTCAAATAAATACAAAAGATTAACCAAATTGTTGCAAAAATCCTGTAAAAGCATGCACTGCGTTATTTATGCAATTGTCCCATTACCGCGGTCTTTGCACAAGAGCTTTACAGGATATCTTCCACCGCAATTTACGCTTCCGTCTGCCATGTCTGCGAATATGCAGCGGTTGACATGTCCGAATCTGGTGCCGAGTGAGTGCCCTGACAACATCTGCCAAAATTTTCATGACATGCGCGGTACTTGATTCGATACAATTGCCACTGGCAAGTTACCGAGTCGGAATTCATCTTCGCAAGATTTATAACGTAAGCGATACAATGGCACCATGGCTTGTATTGCCATTTTGCTCAGATGTCCCACAAAGTAAGAAGTGCCGGTATTATGGTCTAAATTTGATTCAAAATATTGCAATAATACTGCAAGATCTTTCAAAATATCCTGCAAAGTAAAACAATCAAATAAATTATCTACATAATGTCAAATTTCAACATCCTTACACCCAATCAAAAAAGAAAAAGTTAAAGTCTACAAGATGGCGGAAGAAGCTGATGTGGCGCTTGACGTTGATGCTTTTATCAGCACAATGTACCGAAAGGTGCTATCGTGTGTGAAGGCCTCAAACGGCATACCATCGGAGGACGATGGATTTTATTTTCACTCGCAATTTAGCGCCGAATTCGCAGCGAGCTCCAAGCGCACCGGCGCCAAAGCCGAAGAGCTCATACGGCTGCTTACCAAGCTTCCGCGCACCGATATGGATGCGGAAAATGCAGAAAATAACGATGAGGATGAAAGTATGGAGCTTTTTGACGGACCAGAGCCTAATGCACTTGTGACAGACTATGCAGACATGCTGTTGGATGAGGCGTCCAAGCACCTCGCACAGTTCATGCAAGGCGAGACGAACGCTCTCACTGATAAGTCAAAGCTTCGACCACTGGATAACAAGCCACAAGTATTTGAAAACAAGAAAAGACACATGAAATTAGTAGAGGAAACGGAGAGGATTGTTGTACGGGGAGCACAGGACAAGCCACAGAACCGATTTGATGAAAAAATTGACAACTCCGACGCACCATTCGTGTCAAAACTTCGAGAAAAGGTGCATGCACTTAATGAAGGTGCTGCTGCAGCTATTGGTGACGAAGACGACGAGATGGGTTTACGTCATCCATACTATTCGGAGATTAAAGGTCTTAAGTATGCATCATGGCAGTTGACAGCGTCCGAGAAACCGTATGAATTGGTTGGGATCAATGAGGCAACGTATCTGTGGGTGGACACGGAAGAGAAGTTGGTGAAGATGATGAAGTCACTTAAAGCTGCTGAAGCTCGTGTTATTGCAGTGGATATGGAACATCACAGCTATAGATCGTACATGGGACTTACATGCCTCATGCAAATTTCTACTGCACACGAGGACTTTTTGGTGGATACACTGGCCCTACGTGGGAAACTGCAGACGCTGAATGAGGTGTTTTGTGATCCAGAAAAGGTCAAGGTACTACACGGAAGCGACATGGATATTCTGTGGTTGCAGCGCGATCTTGGTCTGTATATTGTCAACCTCTTTGACACGGGTCGTGCAGCACGTTTGTTGCAATATCCACGGTTTTCATTGGCATACATGCTCAAGCGTCACTGCAATATTGACGCCGATAAACAGTACCAGCTTGCAGATTGGCGAATCCGTCCGCTAGATATCAGTATGGTGAAGTACGCTCGGGAGGATACACGCTTTCTCTTGTATATTTACGATAGGTTGAAAAAAGAACTGCTGCAAACTGGAGCAAAATCTCGCGAGAGTCTACTTTTTCAAGCACTACAGAATTCAAATAAGCTTTGTTTACAGGTGTATGAAAAACCTCAGCCCACAAGTGAGGACGCTCTTGCAATTGGTGAGAAGCTCAAGGGAACTGTAAACATACGAGAATTGTCCGAGCTTCAAAAGCGCGTAGTTGTGGCGCTATATATGTGGCGTGACCGTATCGCTCGTCAAGAAGACGAATCGATGGCATACGTGATGCCAAATCATGTGCTTTTGAAGCTTACTAAGCACCTTCCCACCCGATCTGACGATTTGTTTCGCGCTTGCCACCCGGTGCCGTTGCTTATTCGCAAGCATGCGCTACAAATAACGAACTTAATTATCGCTGAAAAGTCGAAGCTTGCTCAGGAAGAAGCCAAAACATCACATAAAGCCCAACGAACAGTGGTGATAGAGCCACTGAGAAAAATTTGGGATGAAAATGGCGATGTAACAACTACATTGAGCATGAAGCTTGTAGGACGTGCAAAGCATGCTCCTTGGACGAGTGGCCGACGCAAGGCTGGCGTTGCTAACTCAGATACCCCGATTCGATCGTCATTGTTCGGTAAACCAATTATTCCCGGAGTTAATGCCTTTGAGGCTATTGAGAAGCCAGAGACAGCCGCGTTACTCGAAAAGGTTAACGCTATGGTAGCAAGCACAATGTTTACGATTGCTGAAAATGATCCAGTGATGGCAGCAGCCACCAAATCGATGCCGTTGGTGGCGATTTCAAGCAACGAGAAGGATCTAGAAGAGTCGAAGCAAAATATACCTCAATCAATCTCGGAAGCATATCACATGTCAAATCGAACAAAGCGGAGGAAGACCACACCTGATATGACGGCAACTTCTGATGTGAAGGACCGTGCGCAGGCGTTTATGCAAAAGATTGACGGAGTCGACAGCAAAATTATCGATAGTGAAAGTGAGAGCAATATTAATGGCTTTGACTATGCCACGGCCAGTACTCGGATCACAGGTGCCAAATTTCAGCTAAAGATGGACGAGGATGATAGCGGTACCAGAAGCAAAAGTGGTTACGAGAAGAAGCAAAAAGGATACAACCCTTTTGTGGCTATGAGCGGCAAAGTCAAGAAAGAGTCGGACGACTCAAAGACTCTAGAAATCAAGAAAATGCATCATATGCCGCGAAGTGCCACATTCAGATAGACATGTACTCATTCAATACGTATTGTAGTTACATAGATTGTCTCTGATAGTAAAAAATGTAATTGCTGCTCTGCTAATATCAAGATAATTGTGTTTGAACAACTATATTAAAAAGCTAATCGCAATAAAACACAACACAATCTCTTAATGACCGGTGGTAACGCGGCTCGACGCGATGCGCCTACATTATTCGATTCGGGCCTACAAGGTGGTGCCGCTAGGAAACTCAACACAGTTAAAGATAAATCCAGTGACCTCGAGCCCATTGTGCCTAGTGAGTCGTTAAGTGCGGAGAATAACAGGTCGGATTCCTTTAATGAAGGGGAAGGCGCTGAAACATCTATGAAAGCGGCAGATGATAATATGAATTATCAAAATGCTGATAGGGAACAAGGTAGATATGATTTTAAGCTGGAATTTATGCGTTTAAAAGCTTATCGATTATATACTCGATCATTTAAAAATAGCTGATGCTGAAGCCATGGAGCATAACGAGTTGACAACGATGGCAGCAAGTAATAGAAGAAATCGTACGACCAATTTGGTGTCTGCGAAGCCAGTCAGAAAGCGCGCAAAACTCGTCGGCAAAGTTGCAAAAAACAGGAAGACGAAAAACAAAGTGGTTGTGAAAGCTGATGCAAACGAGAGAAAGAAAGCAGTTTTGAAACGTAAGACGCGGCTTCAGATTGACAGAATCAAGGCAAATACACCACTTGCTACGCCATTTTACGTTGAGACTGGAGTCGAATGGAATCACACGAACATTGATTTTGACGAACTGAATGTACTGCGTTCGTTATGGGAATTGCCTGCTGCTTGCCATATTTTATGGCTACTGCAAAGCCCATTAACACTTCGCTTTTACAACACATTGTTAGAGTATGAGGCTGCACTATTAAAGCCAGAAGAGAGTCCGGTGTTAGAAGACGTGTTTACTAAATTACTATTGAAAAAAAGTGAGCGTATGTGCTTAAGTGCCGGTATTGGACTGAAGTACGAGTGGTGGAACAAACAGTTGCGTATCTACTATCTAGACATGTATGACAAGTGGTACGCACTCTTGCGTAAGGCTGGCGAGCGAGTACCGGAGACATTTTCGCAGGATGAAGACGATGATGACAGTTGTATTGGAGTTTCTAAGACCGACGAGCAGGTGGATGTGGAACTGACGGATGACGAGTGGCTGACACTCGACATTCTAAAGGCGCGACTTGAAACACTAGGCGCGGTATGTCCCTTAAAGGTCAGTGCAAGTTTTGTTTTTCTAGCCAAATGGGCACAAATTCACGTATAGAACGTTATGACAGCACCAGTCATATGCGGACTTGTCTATCGAATTGCGATGCAAGATTCTTTTAAATTTATGCGAGGCTGTAATAGATGACCCTGCGAACACGTGTGTATTGGTATCCTTGTTTTCTGGAGTTATGATGCGGACTTTAATAACTTTTCTGTTATAACCAACGGGGTATATTAGGGAATACATGCGTCAGATGGAAGAAGACGATCTGCGAGTAGAGCCTCTAGGAAATGATCGCGCCGGCAATTTGTATTACTTTTTCCCGCAATTTTTTGAAGAACGTCGACTTTATAGATTAGACCCCGAGACACATGAGTGGGGGCTTTGGGTGAAAGGAGATGATGCGTTTCGCTTGATGTTTCAAGCGATTAAGGAAATCCGAGGACGAAAAATTAGTGGCGAACAGGAGCTTTTAAATCATCTCGAGGTCATCGTCGAGCAGATTGATGACGAAAATGAAGCTCGCGCTCGACAGCTAGAGAAAGCCAACCGCTTAGCAATTCTTGAAGCAATTCCACGCAAGCGCTCACTTCGTCTTCAGGTGAAACAGCTGGAAATTCTGGAAAAGCATCAGGAAGACTTGAAGCAACAGAAGGAAATGTCTAAGGAGGCAATTGCTGAAATGAAACGTGCTGAGTTGCTTGAAAAGGTAGAGCGCGAAGATGAGAAGGAGGTACGTGATTTTGAGCGCGAGGCCCGGCGATTGCACCGGGAACAGCTTGAGCGAGACTCAGCACAAAGTGAACGGAAGGAACGTTGGTTGCGCCGTACCGAGAAGGAAGAACAGGAAGAGATTTTCGAGCATGTGGCTTCTATGGAAGAATCTAAAATTTCGTAAAATTAGTTTTTTCCTAAAAACCCAATACAATATTCAGTATAGACTTTCGTGTAGAATGTACTAATATAATTTTCATATTGGATAACCAGGTAATACTTTCTGTGTAGTATGAGAGAAATAGCAATCAAGACTGCAATCGCCGATTAAAAAAAGATGACGCTTATAATGGGATATGTAATTTAATCTCATGTACTTAGACCTATTAATGGAAATCCTGACGGAGAAGCCCGTGATATATGTATATTGATAGCCACACGGCAAACAATGAGGACATATATGAGAAATTATAAGCTGTACATCTAAGTGTTAGTCCAAAAAGACTTATCCTACATACAAGTACTCTTGAAATAGCTAAGCAAGCAATAAAACCAAAGCCTCTTTGTTCCGCTCCAAGTGTGAACCCGACCTCTGTGCGTTTGCTGACGCGGACTCTTTGAGCCAATACTTCCTTTGTCTAGAGTGCACGCAGTGACACAAGATTCACTGACCAACACTAGCGCGAGATAATTCATGTGCGCGTGGTGCAGCACAAATTTGCTAAGCGACAAGGCAACGTTTGCCGCGCACTTTACACATAGGAAGCTGACCTTGCGCGCTGGATTAGCAAACAAATCGCTCTATGTCTTGAAAGCCAGCATCGGTGAAAAGAATCTTCTCTTCGAACGTCGTTTTAAGCTCAGCATTTCAAAATTACGCAGTACGCGAAGGTCGAGTTAACAATCCATCATCTCAAGCTGTTACTACTTACAGGATTATGAAAACATCTACCTGAATTCTACTTCTTATCGTTTTATGCAATTTTAAGATTTGCTTGACTTCATGAGACAAATTCATTGGCTATCCACCAGGGGCCTTACTTACCGCATGGTTTGTCCGTCTACTGATGTAACTCGCGCTGCGACGGGAGACCTTGCCTCTTCTAAAAAGAAGTCAAAGGTAGAGGATGTGCTAGGTTGTAGGCGGCTGCAGCATCAGGACAATATTGCCAAAGTAGTTTCTCAAGCGTCCATAGGCTGATGCAACTTCTCCACTTTATTGAAACAAGCAACATCTTTGTGCAGGCATCATCTAGTCAATCACTTTTCGCGACATGTACCCTTCGTAGCACTTCAAGCACTACCAGCAGAGAGTTTCCCGTCCGGTAGCTATTTCTCATGAGTTTTCGCCGATGAGGCGGCACGTCAAATTTTTTTCGAGAATCACGGCGTGCATCCGAAACTGAGATCGGTCAGATTTCGGGTTTCTTTAAGCCTCGCTATTGCACTGACTACCTTCTGCACTTCAACGTCGCCAATTTGAAGCAGAGATTAGCCTAGCTACAAGGGACGGTAGTGTTGTCGCTCGGTCTGCAATAGATTTCATCACGTCCGACTGGCTCGAATGAGCGGAATCGTGGTATGGGTATAAAGAGCTCGAATAGAGCACTGAATATGTTTGCATTCTCTCGGAATATGTATATCTTCAATTCGATTTCGCTATGAGCGAGAATATTTATTGCAGCGTGGTCGCAACTTACAACGGGTACTGTATGTGTAGGAATGATTATTGTAGTCTTTTCACTTGCCACTGATATATATGCCGATTTTTTTGCTCGTCTTAGCGCTCACCCATAGCGTCACATAACCTAGGGATTGCATGACGCTTAATTTCATTTTGTCAAAACCACAAAGTTTTAATTAGGTGTGTAGCCGGGCTGATCGCGATTTGATCTTGATCGGTAGCCCCCCCCTCAGCTACGACTGGGTCTGTAACGGGGTTACACGAACCCTAATAACAGGGGTGTTTGCGTGTCACACGAGATGTGCATAATGTCACCACACACCCAAACACCCAAACAAGAATACGGGGCGGGGCTAGGTAGCCAGTAGTTATGGATGTATATAGATTTTACTATTTATGTTTAGTATATTTAGGAAAATCAAAACTTTTAACATTGGGATAAAACTATCAATAAAAATCAGTTTCGATTCTAAACAGAAGTGTTCGTTTGCCTTGGTAAGGCTTTTAAGTACTTTTAGAGGCAGCGGAGTGCGATCCGCTGCACTAGTACTTGGTTCTTGTATAGAACGAAAGGTCGGTGACCTAAAGACGCTTCCTCAAGCGCGAAGCTACGGCAGCCCCGCTGCAGGGTCCGCTTCGTGGCAGTTCAGAGGCACCTTAAGATTCAGCAAACTGTTTATACAAAATGGTTAGCCTATCGAGATATCTACAGCGTTAGAAATAAACTCAATGAGTGTGAGTAACCCTCTTCAGCACCGCTTTTTCTCCGTGTGGTATTCCGGATGAAATGTCAACCATGCCGTTTACTGGCTCCATCTTTTCATTTGTTTGTGGATAGCTAGATGTAGAGATACTCAATCCGGCGCCGAGCACATTTGATATTTGCTGTAATTGCGGGTCTCTATTTGATACAATGGCTACCGCACAACGTGTTGACGAATACTTTATAAGGCGATTGTTCGTCTGTGCAAGCTATGCTAGAATTAAATGAAAAATCTGACTAAAACAATTTCTTATGGTTGGAGATCTTCCGGGTATCTTAGCTCCACCACGAAGTGCCTACACTCTCAATGATGAATAGGCTGTCGATCAATCAAAGTGGCTGATCTATAACCGTTACCCTTCGTGCAAAATCAGAGGATCTTTCTCAATGATACAGCGCGCACTGATAGGCATAGCTCACATAATTATGTTGGGGGACAATGATTTATCGCTTGCATTTAACTTTCACATGCAGTTTCTGAAGTGTATTCAACAAGGCTGCTACTTCGCTACTTGAATTCATACTACGTCATCCTACTACAAGCCAGTCGGATATAAAGAGCTCAGTGGAAAGGGGAGCAACGACTCGACGGTTCCTTTAGCAGCTAGCCTCTGCCATGGAGAAGCAACGCGGTTATGAACCATTGGAACGCCTGGACCAGGCAGTGTGATGCTTTAAAAGTTGTGCGAGACTCGGTTACACGTGTTATCTGACATTTTAAAACTGCGACCAGCTACATCGGCGTCCACGTTCGATATCATCACCTGAATTCTGGATCGGTTCGCCAAATCCCAATAGTATGGTCGACCATAATTTATCTTTAATCGGGCTAACCTTCTTGGTTAAAGCCTACTCAGCCTTAGCAACGGTATATTTCTTAGCAGACAGAAGGGTAAGATTCATGCTAATTTACTGAATTACAACCCATCCGCTTTTTGATCATTGACAATGTGAACTTTCATTCCGAAACACTTTTTATAGCAAATTTTTGTGGGGACACCGGAACAGCAACCTGTAATGTAATACTTCACGAATTTGTGACTATTAGAGTTGTATTTTGATCTCTGATAGAAAATCAAATAGAGTTTAAAACATTTTCCTTGATTTGTGGCAAGGCAAGACGATGAAATCACCCAGTAGGTACTGATAGTAACAGAATAGATGGCGTCAGACGGCCAGTGTAATGAGAGCTGCAATTTAAGATCGTTTCTGACGGATGACCACATCATCTCCGCCGTCATACTTTCGAAAAAAAAACTTTATATATAGCTAACTGCTGTTGTCTTGCTCATGCCAAAACTTCTTCGATCACTTCATTAAAATATTTCCAGAATGAAATCTTATCTTGAGCGTCGTAGATAGCATTGTGAGTCACTTGTGGATCCGTGTTGGATCAAGCATTTACTGCAGCGAAACGCAACTTTAAGCCATCGTACATCCATTCAGAACAGCAACACAAAAACACTATCTCATTTAAAGCATTGTAACCGACACCTACGACCATCACTTTCGCTTTCGCAGCACCGAACGCTGCTATAACGACGTGATTTTGTTTAATAAAGCTGATGGCCCATGGGAAAAGAAGCTTATGAATAACGAAGAGGCCCACCAATGAGATTGTGATGCAGTAGTCTCGAAATGTATTTTTGTGACCAGGCAGTTAAATTGCTCACTCCAGCGATTACTCGTGATGCTGCCTCCGTTGCCTTTGGTGGACAACAACAATGATAAGTTTTGCTCACGAAAGCGTGTGAATGGAGATAGTTCTATTGAAAGCAACACTTTAAATAGTCAAGATCTCACTCAACTCAGTCGACCTTCTCCTCGTACATTCGTTCGTGTGCCTACATCTAGAACGAGTTGCAAGAAAGAAGGCGAAAGCGAGCAAAAACGTTCTTTAGATTTGACGAATATCTCTAGAATTCCCCGTGATTTTTTTGTTGTGGAGACCAATGCCGTTCTTTTTCCTCCGGACTACCCACCAGGCCAGTACCAATCTACTCTTAATAAGGAAGGACAATGGGAGACAATTGTGTTTCCAGCTCTGACACCACGTAATCGTCAGCAAGTGCTATACCTTCGAAAAACATTGGATAGGATGCGTGCTACCATGCCACAATTTCTTCAACAACATTCGAGTGTTGGATGTGAAATAGATAAGACAGTAGTATCAGAGCGAATGCGCTTGATAATCGAATACACGAGCCAAGAGTCTAATATCTATTCGACCTGCTTTCATGAACTAGCACGGCAAATAAGGTTTATATGCAAAGAGCAAAGTGAACTGTTGTATGAGATTCGCAACGGTTACGATGCAGCTGTCGCTCGTCTTATTGATCAGCTTTCGATTAAAAATCATGAGACCGACCTACAGCAAGATCGATTTGATAAGCTGAAGATAGAGTGTGCTCGGTTAGAAAAGGAAAAGGAGCAGCTTTCTCAGCACATTAAAGTGTTAGAAGACCGACAAAACACGGGGCTTTCTGCTACTGCAGCACCCGAAGCATTTTGGTCGCTTGATATGGGGAGTTATAGCGATTTCAACGATGATGAAGAAGAGTGGAGATGGCAGCGTGCTTCTGCATCTGTGAGCAAACGAATTTTCTCCTCAAAGCACAAATATTCTGCGAGCGAGAAATTTCTTGCAGCAAGACGCGTGCAAGTTGCATTTCGGAGGTTTCAAGCCTACAAAGAGAAATCCCGTGATAATAGTCAGATGAAAAAGCAGGCAGCAGCAAAATCTATCCAAAAAATTTATCGAGGCTTTCGCGATCGACGACTGGCAATACATCACAGAGCCATTATGCGAACGGTCATTCGTCGACGAAAAGAGAGTGCAGCAGTTGAGGTAATGCAAGCCAATGTCCGCGCCTTCTTGCTTTATCGGCGCCGCAATGATAAGTCGAAAAAAGTTTTCGAGCTCACAGGTAATTACGAACAAGCACCTGTCGACACACGAGTCCTCCCTGCTATCGATCCATTAATGTCTGAAATTATGGCACTTTCAACCACTGATAACAATGATGACAAGAGTCAAGCTGAACAAGCAGCAAAAAATGATATCAAGCTGAACTCAAGACAAACGCTCGTACACTTGCTTTCAAGGTTTCGAAAGCTAGCGTCCATCATAATTGCATTTAATCGTGGAATAACATCAGGCACATCTAAAGCTGAAAATGTTGATATTACTGAGACCATCGATGATGCTGGTACTTGTCCAACTAGCGAGACGCTGGTGGCAGAATATAATGATGAGGACCTAAATATTTTTCAACGAACAGTAAAAGAAGCTAAGGCACTGTTGATCTCGCTTGATATGGTTTTGAGACCTACATCAGAGGGGATTGACAAGCATAGCGTATCGGAGGACGACGTCAATGATTTAGTGGATTGGAATGGTACAGCTTCAATCGGATGGGCGAAGGACATTGAACAAAACGATAGTAAAGTGGATCAGAAAACGTATCTAGTTCCTAAATTTGGTAAGCGCGCTGTCCTTTTTGGTGCTGAAGATGCTTTGCGATCGCAAAAGTACGAAGAACTTCAACTAAATAAAACATTATGGCACTCAGCCAAATGCTATCTCGCTTCAAAAAATGATACAGATTCGTATTTGACGTCCACACTGGCATCACATGACCAGGCCAAGAGACTTTTGTCGCTTAAGCGCTTTATTACAAACATGTACGACATGATCGTGACAAAATTAAAAGAGTTGTCTAAGTCGCGCCTAAGTGAATTGCTGGCTTCTCACTGCCATCTCGCATTATCCTTCAGTGAGTGGCGTCAACAGCAATCCCAGCTTGTTTCAAGAGCTCAATGTACTGACCAATCACCAAGTTTTAATATGGAGCTGCTAACTCGAGAGCATTTTCGCTGTCGACTCGGTTTGCCACAACTTGTTGATACAGCGTTTATTAACCTTTCTGAAACTATTGAGTTCTTTGCCGCGATTGACCCGGATGTCAAACGTTTCCAGGATTTTATGGTGAGCGAACGATCGGAAGAAGAGCTTGTCTTTTGTTGCTTATGTCGATATTTATGCACACATTGTCTGCCATGTGACGATTGCCCGGCAGGTTCGGCCACTTCCACGCTTCATCGCCAGCCGATGCTTCACTCTGTCACCGCTCGCGAAATCATTGATGTTCCTCACATTCTGGAGCTTGCTAGAATATTGTTTCGAGTCAATGATGAGAGGTCTATTGTAGAAAGCGATACTTCAATCACTGAGGTCGAAAATGTTGTGTATCGCGAGTATTTACCGACGAATGGCTTGCAGCAATTCGAAGATATTGTCTCGTCCATCTGTATAGATCCTGACAGCCGCGTTACTCCAGTCTCGACGAATGAAGCGGATGATTTCACAGAAAAAAGCAGCCAGAATCTGGAACCTCCTTGTCGACATCCAAGTGGCTCACTAATTTGTGGTAAACCAATTCCGAGGCCGAAGAATAACCCCCATGTTTCCCGAAGCACAGTGTTACGTCGTCAGCATTATCACGCTTCACCAAGACAATTCACACTTTCGGCAGAGGTTAAATGGGTCTTTTATGAAGAGATTCTGGCGCTACTTGTTCGATTTCGCTGTGAAATGAACCAATTTTATTTCGCTTTGTTTTGTCTTAAGGAATTATTTCGTCTTGCAGCGGCAAGTAGTACGACTCCGTCGAAGTTGCTCGATGAAACGGCATTTGTTGAGACGCTCTTGCCGCTTTCAAATGGTCTATCTGAGCGAGATCTCAGAAACATTTTCCACAACGTTTTACGCCAACGGGAGCTACGAGTCATGATGCCATTGCGTGTATTTACATCAGCAGCTTTGCTACTTATGCGAAATGGTCTTTTGAGCATCTCGACCTACGCCTCAATACGAATACAAAGAAATGATTCGCCACCTCAAGCATTTTTGCTACAACAAAAAAATGAGGACACGAAATGGCGAGATCTTGCTCATCAATGGCAAATTCTAGAGTCTTCGTTTGATGCTATCGTTGACGCTATCAACGATAAGTCACTAGCGCCTCATTACCTCCAGGTGTATAAATCTCTTATGCTCACATCTGCCGACAAGACTCGAGCTGAACATGCATTACAGCTACTACAGCTCCGAAAAGAAATTTACGATTTATTTGCTAGTCGATCAGCGAGAGGTCGAGATCTTGATCGAGCTTACGAAATATACGAAGTATTTGTAAATGAACGGCTTGCACATCAAGGCGTGATGAGAATAGTGAAAGGGGAACTATAGGGCAAATCCTTTGGCAATAACTTCTGAACAGTCTCCTAGTATATACCGGATTTTTGTCAATGATTCGATACTTATTGAAGGGCGTAGTCGTCGTAGGTGTTCTGACCACTAGGATACGTGGGGATGATCTTAATATTGTCCACGTACCTTCAGGTGTCACGACGGTGATGCTTAATGATCGTGTCGAGCTTAAAGTTGACACGTGGGTGACTATTAATGCCCCATCGATGTTTGTGACACTCAAGTTGACAGACAGCAATGGTACTGCAATGGATTCGCTAATTTTTCCGCACTCACTTATCTTTGCGCACGCAATTAATGCCACGCGACCAACAAGAGTCAAGCAGAAATTCTTTTTGTTTGGCAAAGTTCCAGGAAGATTCTACCTTGATTACGGTATGAGAGGCATGGATGTTGACAAATACTATCGACTGGAAGCTGAACGATCGGTTGTATCGATTGCTGCTGGGAGAGATGTCGGGTGGCAGGGCATATGGTATCAATTGCTGTTCAACAGTCTACTTTTTTGTGGTGGAATGACCTTTTTCGCGTATCGTCGACTGTCTGTGTCAGGAGGCGGCCAGGAAATGCTTTTTGAGCGCAGCAATTATGACGAGATCTCACTCGACGTTTATACGACAAAGTATAGCGAACTCCAAGGATCAACATTGAAGAAAAGAATAACGAAATACTGGGATATTCCGTGTACTGGAGATTACGTTACTTCGATGTGTGGCATTCCAGCAGCACTTCTCATGGGGCTTTTCCGAGACTGTGGGCATTTATTTGTACTTCTTAGCTTTTTTAGCCTCGTAGTGATGCTACCAGTGGTAAGTGGAGATGCCAGTGCTGGTAATTGAAAATTACTCAAGCTAAGATACATCGTTGCGAATGTAGAATTATTTTCCAGGGAGTGCTCGGGGGCAGAAGGGAGGAGATACATACCAAGCAACGACTCTTAGCAATGTACCGCTCCATAGTAATTGGTACTGGATCCACGTGGTCTACTGCTATTTCGTAGCTTTTGCTGTACTTCGGCTTTTGCGCAGACAACACGAAGTGGTATCAATGCTTCAAAGTAAAGCAAAACACATCGTAGGATCTCGAAGCATATTCATTCAGCATGGACTTCCGCTTGACACAACAGAACATTCATTACTTGATGTGCTTCATACTGCTATGCCTAGTGAGGGTTCTGTGCATGAAGTTACAATTTTGCAAGATCTTAGCGCTGTGTACGAGCTGCTTGATCGAAGAAAAAACCTATCTGAGAAACTCAGCAGAATTTTAGCATTTGAAGAAGCCTATGAGAACGGCACTTTATCATATAATCTGTTGTGCTGTCCTGGTTCTGTAGTGGCCCCTGAGCCACTCCAGGTAGCTTGGTGGCACTTACGCTGCAAGCCAGGTCGTTATATTGTCCGCCATAGAAACATGGCTGAATGCTGCTGCTACTGTTGCACATGTTGCTGTCCGAGACATAGCGTAAGGGTTGGCAGAACCGACAGCCATAGCAGAACGTTGTACCAAAGTCTTGTCGATGATAATCGTGACGAAGCGTTCGATCGGAGTACAGCGCGGCAAATTTTATTGTTGCAAGAAGAACTTGAGTTTGCCCCAGTAGACGTACTGGAAAAATTTAGGAAGCGGAAATGCATGGGGGCTGCATTTCTAATATTTGACTCCACGGCTACTCGTAACGCTTTTGTTCGAAACGTACGTGCTCAGACTTGCCTCGGTCGCTTGACAAATTTTGCAGAGTCTTTGTTTTCTAAAAGTGTTCAACACGAATCACTGGCTTCATTGGGAAGACAAGAACGTTCCTTGCCACAAACGCTCGATCCTGTTCTTCAAGATGTCGTACTCATGAGTGCACCAGAGCCCGATGACGTGATTTGGCGTAATCTTGCATATCGACCGTCTACGTTTCGAAGAATTACTTACTTTTGGCTTCGACAGCTTGCGACGCTGGTCTTGCTACTTTTGTTCTCTACACCGACAGCTGTGCTTATATTTATCAAGCTCGATTCAGGCAGCGATGTGTACCGAGGCTTAAATCGACAAAACACGTTTCTGCTTACAATAGTGGCTTCGTATATGCCGTCGCTGCTTTTGGTAAGTCTAAAATCTCCAGTCATTGCCTTTTGTCTTTTTTGGCTCTGGTGCTAACCCACGTGGATGCTGCAGATTGTCGTCAATTGGTGTCTACTAGCATTTCTAGATCAAATCTCAATGTCAGAGACTTCATTCAGCTATTCTCAGCAAGTCAAAAGCTTTCTTGTAAAAGGTTTTACATACTTGATTGTGGTACGTTTTCATATTGCCAGATTATTTCAAGACAACTGGCACGCTTAACATGAGTTTCGTCTTAGAGCTCAGTCATACTGCCCAGTATTGGTGTGACAGCACTTTATTTGGCATTAACGGACATCGAGAAGACTGGCGGCCGCTCGTATATTGAGTCCTTCTTGTACAAAGTATCAGGCACGTTCTTCATCTCGTACGTTTGTCAGTGTACCTTCATCGGGGGAATAGTCGACATCACTCGATGTTCCGATACAATGGCATTGCAACCTTGGCTTCGCGCACGCTCGGTCACGTCCCAGGAGATCCAAAAGGCGCAACGGCCGAGTACTTTTTCCTACGGCCATGAGTACGCGCTGGTACTGAGCGTTTTTCTTGTGATCCTGTTGGGCACGGTCATCTCTCCAATCATCACACCGTTCGGAGCACTTTACTTCTACGTCAAGCTTGCCACGACAAAGTACAACACGTTGTATGTGCATCCGTATAGTCCTGGCCGAGGTCATATTGCCGAGACGGCATTAGAGCTTACGTTTGTGTGCTTGATATTGTTTGAGATCGTCATGGCTTTTGTCTTTTTGCAAGTTGCTGGTCGCAAACAGTTTGTAGCGATGCTTGTACTGCTGTTAGCCACATTTTCCGTCCACCTCTTTCGGCTCTCTGGTGCAGATGCATATCAATTTGTTCAGCGAGGTTTTGCTGATTTGCGAAGCGAACCTCAGTCTTCCGGTGGCAAAGCAGGCACTGTGTTTGAACATTCTAAGTCGAAGCGCTTCATCTTAAGCCCCCAGCCTACGAATCTACATCATGATCAGGCCCACATTGCATCGTATGCCGATCCGTTTAAAGCAGCGCTTTTGATATTTAAACTGCTCGGTGCTGACAACTTTCATCAGATGACTTCCTCCAGTACACAGCTTCGATTTGCCTTCGATAAGTTACGTCGCTGGTCGAAAAGTCCGCTTTCCCTTTCCGAGATAAGTGACTAGGCAATACAGAATGAAGGACAGCTGGTGACAATATACCGCAGAGAAAAACTTTTGTGGTGGTCGAGACACCCGCAGCACGAAGCAATGACGTACGATGAGCTTGGAGCTAACAGCTTGAAAACAAGTCAATGTGACAATTAATTCATTTTATTCGACCGCTAGATAGATTATGAGGATAAATACTGTGTCCTTGTTTATACAAAGACTAGATCGGAAGGCATTAAGCAATTAGGGCCACATGATGCCGATGATGGCATTGACAACCAAGCAGCTAGCTAAAGATGCAGGCAGTATTAGAAGGCACGTGTGAAACCACTGTCAGTGGCACAACAAAATCAGAAAAAACTGATCTCAGCTCAAATCAAACATCTATCTATATACCTGCTCATGTTGAAGAATTTGGTCAACTCGTGGTAATGAAACACCAAAGATTTGTTTGGACGCACCAACCACTAATACAAAGGAAAAAAAATGATTGAAGGCGACAGTACAAGCGGCCAACAAGTCTATAGAACGTACCTGAAGCAATAGCATCTTGTTTGCACAGTGGACAGCGTCCACTTCGACCTTCTAGCCATGGATTGATACAATTTATGTGGAAAAAGTGCTGACACGGAAGAACCTTCACGTCTGTGCCATCTTCAAAGTCATCCAGACAAATGGGGCAAGTCTCTGTATCCGAGTCAGCTGAACCTCGATAAGTTGTTTCGCTATTGACGCGATCTTCTTTCTGCATTTCTATCCCTTTATCGTTTTCAAGACAAATTTTAGCATCAGAACCTCCGTCTTCTGAAGTTGTGCAGTCTGCGGTGGTATCACAAGTAGATTTCGTTATTCCAGATATAGCGCTTGTTCTGGATCCATTCTCAATCTCACTGAGAAAAATGCGATCCAGCACATATTCATCTTTCAGCAAATGTTCCAAAAGTGTCCGCTGCATATTGCGTTCATATTTGGCTACTGGCAACTTTTTCGCCGCCCGCGTTCGTCGGGACTTGCTAACCCATTGGAATATTGCCGACGACAGTAGACTTAATCCACTAGAAAATGCGCAAATGTACGCAATTACGCGTTTAAGTAAGCGGTTCGACGTCGATGCTTGCGGCACTGAATCAATAATACCACCATCACCTCTTTGATACTCATTTTGGCCACTATAAATACTTACATTCACCATAAGCATTCAGCGTTATCTGTGGTGGATCCCACGGCGCAGCGCGACTTATGGCGAGAAGCAGCCACTCGCCAGATGTGTAAGAAATAAAGACCGACGGGATGTGGATACTGTTGGCCTTGCTATCTTTCATCATAATAATGTGGTACGGTGGCCTGCAGCATAACAAATAGTGTTAGACCATAAAAGTCATGGCGCTGGCTTTTGGAACATTATGATCATACTCGTGACGCAGTTCGCTATCCATTACAATTACAGCAGCCGCGTGAGCGCGTTGTGCATTCCACACTTTCTGTACAAAGTTGCACTCGCCACGTAGTACAAGCGCTACTTTACCCGTCAGGTCACCATGCAATGGCTCGCACGCCGTAAACGGAGACACTATTTAAAGTGTAGGCATATATTAAAATTCACAGCCACATTTAAATTGCAGTACACGCTACCGGGCACGATGTCCAAGTTGTGCAGACTGCCGGTTTTTAGCAACGTGAGGTTTGTGAATTCGCCGGAGCTGCAAATGAATTGGGTAGTTTAGGGTAAATCGGTCTGTAGATTATTTTATATAATCGGTGAGTTCGTACACATGCGTCACTAGTCGGCATTCTGGGCTGTCGTTAAGGCAAGAATCATAATGTAACGTTTCGGCACATCCAGTATTCACACAACCTGGTGCATGCGTACCTCTCGATCACGAGTGCGGATGTAAAGCATATTTGCAGCACCAGTAACACTAGCTGCAAGAGACTCATAAGCAATGCGCAGGAGCGACGTGCGCGGAACTTCCTATAGGTTTCGAACCTTCGAAGCGACCAGAGTATACAAGGTGGTCCACATTGATGTGACGAAATGTTGGATTTCCAAATACATCTACCATTCGGTAATATCTCTGGTCTGCATTGTATGTATATGTCGGTAATATCTCTCTGGTCTGCATTGTATGTATATGCTTTGGATGGAGGAGGCGTCTTTTCCTCCGCAGAAGTGCCTCAGCCTCACTAAGCCCCTAAAAGGCAGAGAGCGACATTGTCGCTCTTGGCGCACGATACGACCATCCTACAGTAAACAATTTATGGTCCTTCAGGGTTTTTATCTCATAGCATTGGGTGTAAGAAGTATGTGCGACCAAACATGTAGCAGTCTTATTGCTTCTTTAAATATAAATATATAAGGCCCATGGGCCTTTAGTGAGTGTTGCAGCCTCCACATTCACCCATAGCTTTGGGCGTGCTGACAACAGAATCGATAAGTATGACAGGTTCTGTCTTGTCGTCGGTCATGGTAGTATCTTCTTGCTCGTTAGGGAGAAGTGGACCAGTTCGAATCTTGTGGATATGTAACACCAAACGCTGCACTGCTTCGAAAATGCAAAGTCCACCATCCCATTCATGTGCTCTAGCGTTCTGTTTGGCAGTAGTGCGCGCGAAAAGAAGATTTTGAACTTCACAGAAGGCATTGACCTTGTCTGGCTGTGCAAACTTAACCGGTCGTGTGCCTTTGGGTATTTTGTCCACTTTGTTCTCCAGCACCATTGCAGCTGTGAGCGAATCACCTGCCGTATTGCGCAGCGTGTTCAGCCATTCGTTTAAGCGATCAAAACTTTGAGCATCACTGACGTCATACACGAGTAGGGCACCATCT